GGAGAACCTCCCTCGACCTGCTGGCCACACTCCTCCTAATGCACCCCAGGATCCCATTGGCTTTCTTGGCAGCCAGAGCACACTGCTGGCTCATGGTCAACTTGCCGTCCACCAGGACACCCAGGTCCCTCTCCACAGAGCTGCTCTCCACCAGGTCCATAACTCCTCAAAAAGCTTTAAACAAAACCAAAAGGCAATATGTGGTACCACTGATTTCAGATGGGATGCGTAGAGGCCAGAAACAGATGGTAGGCATTGACATGATGTAGAAGAAAGGTTACGACAACCTCACTGCACGGCTACCGAAAAGGTATGTGGCTAGGCTGAGAGGAGCGGCTTGGAGCCGTAACTGTACCCTAGAATTTATGGTGTGCACCATGGCCTTGCGAACTAAATATATTTTATTGGCTGTGGTTTAGTCCTGGAAAATTCCTTGGCTGGGCTGACCCTTCCCAGCAACTCCTGCATCTGACTCAGCATTACAACCAGTAACATAGGCTCGATGCCTTCCTCAAGTCTATGTCACTCATAAGCATTGCAGAAAACACAAATCCATCTTCTAAAGGTCCTTTTTTCCATGTGTCTAATCTTCACCTAGGAAAAATTAAAATGTAAATAGCACATGGTTCTTTCCAGCTGTCATTGTTTTGGGATAAGGCATCTTGCAAAGCATTTAACACAGATTTGTTCAACTGCTGAAATACCTTCTTTCAAGGAGCCCTCTCATTAAAAGCAGAGGTGAGGAGAAGAGGGAGAATAGTATCTAGCCCCTAACCCCAGTTAAAAGGTTTGTCCTGTAATTTCAACTTTTTTTTGTGTGTGATTAAAAGTTTCATCTTGTTTAATGAAATCATAAAATACAGTTAAAAGGGATCTCTGGAGGTTATGTCGTCCAGTCTGCCGCTCAAAGCAGGGATAATGCCAAAGCGAGACCATGGTGCTCAGGGTTGGACCACTGGGGTCTGAAAATCTTCACGAATGGAAACTCTGCAGCCTCCTTGGACAGCCCATTGCTGTGCTTAATTGCAATCACAGAGATGATTTTTTTTACTTGTTTGAAATTGAAATTTCCTGTGATGTCATCTGTAACTGTTTCATCTTGTCCTTTGCTGTGGCCCTCTGGACCTGTGAGGAGGGTCTGGTTCTCTTTAACCTCCAAACAGATAGCTGAAGGCAGCAACCCGATGTCCCCACTTAGCGTTCACGTCTGAGAACAACCGCAGCAATCGCAGATCCCTGAGCCTCGTCCTATGCTATGTGTTCCAGCCCCCTTCCCTTTTCCTTGTTTGCTGTATCCCTCTGATCTGTCTTGGCTTTTATAGAGACTGCGGGGAACTGTTGGGACAGGCATTAAATAGCATGAAGGGGTGGTGCTGGTTTTAAATTAATAATTACTAGTAACACTGCCAGATATCCTTAAAAGTGGTCTTTAACAAGATGTGTGAGAGATTTAATTCTCACCTGCAGACAGAACAAAATTCTGTACCTGAAATTAAAATAAAGCAGTATTAAAAATGTTGCCAACTTCAGTGAGTTTCCGTTTTTTGTCAAGTATAAAGACATTGCTGTGTAGCAATTCCCCATTCTTGTAGGAATACTTTCCTATTCTGATGTGCCTAAGGGTTAAAAGTGACACAAGGTAAGCATCAGCAGAGGATGCAGAAAGCAGTGTGACTCTTACTTTGCTTATGGGTATGCTGGGATTTGGAGAAACTACAGGACCTGCCAAGTTCTAAATGAGCAATTCTCAAACTGAAAAAGGATCTGCGGACTCAGATCACATTTTGCAGGAGTGTAAGAAGCCCCGTGGAAACTTAATCTGGCCTTCTGGTTTTTGTTTTCTCTCCCATGCTCTCTCTCCTCATGCTTAATAAGGTCCCTCTAAAAATTCTGGGTTTTTTCATCATACCTGTAAGACTGAAGGACTGAGGAGGAGAGCAGTTAAGACGCAAAACTGTTATAGAAAAGGGAATCTGATAAAAATGTTAAAACCAACTGAATTCAAGCTGAGTTTTCATAATAACTCTGTTTGCCTTTTTGTTCTTTTATTCAA